TTCCTTGACCAGAGGTGGCGAGCATTATGTTACTAGGTTTATACAGTACCTGGGTTGGGGGACACGAGGGGAGTAACCAAACCATTTTAAGCCTTGAGCCCTGAATTTGAGAATATGGTTATATTGATATTGGTCAACTGAATATAACAATTATTTTTTAAATCTGTTTACCAACTGCGAATGCATGCTCTGTAGCTCGTATAAAAGATTCCATCCATAGCGCTACCACACAATTAAAGGCAGATAACGTTTAAGCCTGAAGAATGATAATAGTTTTGAAGCCACTTTCAACTCAATGAAGTTAAGCAGGGGGGTAAGGGCCGATTAAATAGTCGTTCAGGCCCTACAACTAAGTGAAACATTCGTCGGTAATCGGGCAAAAAAGGCACATAATTCTTTATTGTTGGAGTGACAATTTTTTGATGAAGTATTTATCTGTTTTTAGCGTTACGGTTGGCATGGATTTGATAGTCTGTTGCAGAAAAGTTTCGATGTTGCAGCTGTTAAATATCCCTGGTTAAACGACTACCGCGAGCGAGCCGTCACCGAGTTAGAATTCTTACATGGCCACCTAAGAGACCCTGGGAAGAGGGCTGCTTGCTTCTTCTTCAGAGATAAGGTTGGTGTACATTTAGTAAAAAAAACATAGCGAAGATCAAATTTCAACACCTTCAGGTGAGCAGACTTGTTTACATGTGGCACTATTATCAATTTTTCTTGAATACTGAGAATATATTCTTGAATTATGGGAAATGCAGTGCATCGGATGAATTGTTGCTTTTTGTTGCAAATGAGAGAATTCGTTGTTACCCAAATAAACCAGTTCAGGTCCATAATGGTTAATATCAGGTTTGCTCGTTATCTACCGGGGCAGGTGCAACGTTAAATTCTTTTTTCATCGGCATAGATCTCAACGCTGAATCATCAAAACTTTTCTGGATAACTGAGTGCAAACTGGAATGTAAATATTTTGGTGTGCACCTGTGCGGTAGCTTCTCCATCCCTCCACTCATTCAAGGCATCTTTATGTAAATCAATATGACTAACAACATCACTGAAATTACAGTCTTACGATGACTTGAAGCTAAAGATAGCTGAAGAAGCTGGTGACGAAAGACAGGCGCGGAAGTTTCTTTCATCAACAGATGGGCCTAAGGCCGCGGAGTTCTTAGCGGATTTGAAGAGGAGAGTTCTTGAAACGAAAGACAAAGTAAATAATTTTCTTTCTCACAAAACTATGTTTCACTGGGTGGTACCGTGATTTGGAAATTCGCATTCATAGTAAACACTTTTCAACTCAAATTAAAATGACTTCCAATTGATCTCTCGTGACTGTTTCAGGTCATACTTTTTTAAGATATATTTTGAAAGGTTTTGGATTAAACAGGACTACCAGAAGCTGTTAGACTGATTTATTTTTACCTACATATGAGAAATGAGCGGGCGGATTCCCAATCTAGAAGTTTGAAAGCAAATCTTTGCCTTTGTGGGTCACGGTTTCACTTTCTTTCGATGAAAGCTCGATAAAAGTTGGATGAAAGAAGACAGACGAACATTCAGAAAAACTTGACGATATGAGAGGGGTCAGGCTGACTAGCTGTTTCAGACTAACCAATCTTGTTTGAGAAGTTATTCATCTGGTTGCTTCACCTTTATCGTTAATTCCCTTACATAGTGCTTAGCTGTCCATATGAACTACAAGAATCCACAAGAAGGAGCCAGGCTAATGTACGAGACAATAGAGAAGTTTCTGAAAGAAGTGATCCTTGTTCACTCCGCTCAAACGCTTTCTCCTTTGGAAGAGGAACGCCTTCAACATGACCTGTTTAGGGTCAGCAGACTTGCTATGGGTGGTGTGTTTGTGGGCGGGGAAGACTATTTGCAAAAGATTGATGAGCACGTAAATATACGAAGCCAAGAGGGGAGTCCTATGAAATATCTTGTTGTGACGGGGGATGGAGGTAAGACCGCAATAAATATTGGACATCCTCCATAGACTTATCCGAGAGACTACCCGAACCTACCCGAACGCACCTGAGAGATTACCTTTATCACTTTTACGAAGGTTATCTAAAAGTAGTATGTATCACCACATCCATACAAACTATCTACGCTTCATTATGAAGTTTTCACAATATTTGCGTTTTGCAGTTGTAAGATTTGTAAAGCTATTTTGATTCTCCATCAAGAACAAGAGATTTTGAGTTTTGAGTTTTCTTGAGTTTTTATAGATTTGTACAGTGTACAGGTAAGAGAACAATAGGACACATAGTCCCTTACTAGGTTCACCCACCTTAACCAACCCCAACCCACCCATCCCTCCCCAGGGGAGGACATCCATCACACAGTAATCGCGTACGTGGGGAATTAACGTCTCCTACCCCTAACCCTGCAGGAGACGGGATGTAGATTGTAAGAACACAAATACGTTAATTAAGAAGCAAGAAGAACACGACTAAATCACATCACAAGTGAATAATGATCAATGCCTATTTTCGTA